ACCTCCCACCTCCACTCTACTTCCCTGGACCTCCCACCTCCACTCTACTTCCCTGGACCTCCCATTTCCACTCTACTTCCCTGAACCTCCCACCTCCACTCTACTTCCCTGGACCTCCCACCTCCACTCTACTTCCCTGGTGATGGACCTCCCTCCTCCACTCTACTTCCCTGGACCTCCCACCTCCACTCTACTTCCCTGGTGATATACTCTCTTCTTTGTTGGTAATAAGGCCACTGATAGCATCTCTCTCTGTGTGACTTGGTGAAATCAAAAAGAGAAAGGCTGACTGAAGGAACCCCACTGGAATTGAACCACACAGAGGAACTTCAACATCTTAATGAATACCAAAGGTGATACAATAATGTTTTTGAAAGGACTGAGGAATATTCTGGTAAATAAGATTACTTCCCTGGCAAGTATGAGGCTCTGGGTTTGATTCCTAGCACTTTATAAAGTGCGAATGATCACATATAAGCCTACAGTGCCAGCACTAAGAAGGTAGAGGCCAGCAAGCCAGGAATTTGAGGTTATCCTTAGCTAAATAGAGTTTGAGTTTAAGGCCAGCTTAGCTCAGTGACTTTTTTTTTTTTTTTTAGAAAAAAGTCAAACTTTTAATTTTATGCAATTTAGTGGACTTTTCCTCCTAGAAATGACTTACATTGTAATGTTGTTCTACTTTATCTAAGGTCAGCTTTCTTACCTGTAATGTGTAATTTTAAATCTGTAATAATTTCATCAATGAAAGACAAATATTTTTGCCTAAAAGAGTAAGTAAAATTTCAAATATCAATATGTTGATTATATATTAAAGTCTGTATACTCCTAAAATGTTTTGAGTGTGTTTTATTAAAAGAATTTAGCTCAGTGGAAGAGCACTTGCCTGGCAAGCTCAAGGCCCTGGGTTCAGTCCTCAGCTCTGAAAATAAAATAAAATAAAATAAAATAAAATAAAATAAAATAAAATAAAATAAAATAAAATCTCATGTAGTAACCTCATAGAAAAAATACCAAAAGCCATTTATATAAAATAATTTAATATTGATAACATTCCAGAGCAGCTTGCCTTTAATTAACAGTAGAACAGTGGTGGGTTGATTTCTTGAGGACTTATTCAAGGAGAGTAATCACAACATGGTCATCTTTGCCTTGCCATAGCATCTCTCCTTCAAAGTGCACCAGTCCATGTTTCCTGGCACGCATGAGGATGCCCACTACTTTATCTGAAATCCGAACATATCTATCAAAGAGTTCTCCGAAAGTAACCTGGATCTTGCCATCTCGTCTGTGGCGAGCCATTGTGCGGATGACAAAGCACAACTCCATGATTTCCCTGTAGATGTGTTCCTCGGCTCGCTTGGCCCTTTCGGCTGTCTTGCTTCCCTCCTTGGGACGGCCATAGCCCTCATCTCCCTTGTGTAGCCGAGTGGACATGGCCAGGTCATAGTCAAATTCGTCACTGAAGGGATTGAGCTTCTGTGACTGTATGTGGTCATCTGCCCACTGCTGCCATCTCCCTTTCAAGTTGTCCACTTGGCTGTATCTCCGCTGGGCCTTACAGTTGAGTGTCTCTGTGTATCTGTTCGCCCTGGAGGAGAGAAGGTGGAGAAGCAGGGTTGACACATGAACAGCACGTGTCATTTCCCTTTAAACCTCCCGTGTGTGTATCCGAGTGTAAGTCTTTATAGTTCATAGGATGACAAAATGCATGGTACGACTTACAAAAAAGTGATTTCTTATATCATTCTTTTTTTTTTTTTTTGGTTTTTTCGAGACAGGGTTTCTCTGCGTAGTTTTGCGCCTTTCCTGGAGCTCACTTGGTAGCCCAGGATGGCCTCGAACTCACAGCGATCCGCCTGCCTCTGCCTCCCGAGTGCTGGGATTAAAGGCGTGCGCCACCACCGCCCGGCCTTATATCATTCTTACTTGATATCCTAGGTCACTTCCTCTAACACTAATGGATTAAACACCAATGATATTAAACTCAAGTTTAACAAAACAAACCACAAAACCTCCCTTATCTATAGTGTGGAAGTATCTGTTTCTAATACATGTTTCATGTTATCAACATTCCTGAACTGGAACCAGTTCTCAGAGGGCTTCTGAAACCAGTTACTTCCCAAACATGCATTTGGTACTACTATACAGATTGGAGTAGTTATGCATAGAATTTTGTGCGTTTTTCCATGCGAGTCTAGTGTTAGTGATATACACAATTCTTTAAGGCATCAGAATTCACAAATAGATGTGTCTTACTGAATGTTATGTGCTGGCATTCTTCCAAACAGTTTATTATTCTCTAGAATCATCTATAAGATGGGTAATATTTTACTGAGCTGTATAGATGAAGAAACTGGAGCCAGAAAGATTACAGAACATTCTAAAGACAAAACTATTAAGTGGTAGGCTAAGACTGGAATCTGAAGCCAAATTAAGCTGTCACAAGAGATCAGTATGCAACTCATAAGAAATATTGCTTGAGTCTGTAGCAGAGGAAGGATTCTGCAAGACTGAAGCTACAACCAATGTAATGCCACCAGCATTCAGGGATAGCGTGTGATAAGTGGGTTGTGTTTCAAAGTAAGTGTGTGCGTGTGTGCATGTACATGGGTGTATGCAGGTGTGTGTGTGTGTGTGTGTGTGTGTGTGTGTGTGTGTGTGTGTGTGTGTGTGTGTTGGAATGCATTTTTTTATTAAAACTACAAAACTCAGCTTTTGAAACATTGCATCATAAGAGGATGCAGACCTAATTTTCAAATAGCTAATTTTTGTACTTGAAAAACTTCTCTGTTGCTTCAGTATCTCCAATTTAGTAGACTTTTTCTTCGTTTAAAAAAATTGACTTCATCTTCCCAAGGTAACCACCTTTACTCTGTGGAGCACTGAGTGACCTCATGCCTGGATACACTGGGATTGAAGATGTGAAGAGAAGTCTTGCATTCTCTATGAGTGGCATGACAGGACTCTGAGCACTACTAATTCACTGCTCTAAGCCCAAGAGTAGACCAGGTTTATGTGTCAATGTACATACTTGCTAAATTCTGCTCAGATGACAAATGGGCCAGTGAATCACAGTAACCATTTCTACCCCTGTGGTCCTAAGTCTGTTTTGTCAGGATAGCCCTGAGTTGATGAGACTCATCACTTCCTCCCTGTGCCAGGAGACAAATGTTTGCTCTCCTTCCATAAAGAAGACATGAAGTCCATCAAGTGCAGACACCAGACCTGTATGTGGTCATTTTCAAAGAAAATAATATCCACTAGATGGCGAAGTTTCACTAATTCCCGTGTTTATGTTTCAGAAAGTCCTATGACTGTGGTCTCACAGTTAGGTTAGAATTAGAAGGGAATGCTCTGATGTTACACTTTCATAGTAATTTGGAGAAAAACATGCAGCAAGGTTAACTGGGAAAACCGGCACACAATACTGTACATCACATGTTTATTACAGTCCTTTCAGTTTGAAACAGTGCTAAAAGCAACAGCACATTGAAGTGCACTAGATTTCACTCAGCCCTGTTAAAATGTGCTGTCACTGCTTTGCTGTTAGCTGTCTGCTCACCTTCCCAGTGTGGCCTGAAAATCTAAAGAGTCAATCGTGTACCCGTGAAGCCACAGTGATGAAGACAGGCATAATCTAACGATCGTAGTTAATTCGAGGAAAAATAAAATCTGGTGGCGTGTTTGAAAATAAGCATCCATCCAGCGACAAAGCATGAGAGACTTCAGAAGGTAGTTGTGTGATGCAGTAAAGTCTCATTAGCACAGAGCTCTGCTCCATGCTAAAGTGTCATACGCTCAGCCTTTAGGAGTTCATGGCTGCTTAGCTACTACTCCATCTGTCCTTTACATGATACCATCTAAGCACTCTTTGGGTAGCCATTGGCTAGTGGGAAAAGCACCCTAAAAGACATTCACAAATATAATCCAGGTAACATAAAGTTGCATTTGCAACTTATGTGTAGAGGCACAAGGCTGAAGAATTCAGTGATGTTATGCACAAATGAAAAATATTACATTGGCATCCAGGTGACCAACTGAACATATGACCTCTTTAAATTTTCCCAAGTGGGCATTATGCCTATTTTGTAATTTTTATAAAGAAAAAAAGGTATAGTAGAAAACTGTACAGTAGCATCAGGAGGTGATTTGTTTAAACTTCATGTTCTATGCCTTTCTGGTTTTTGTTTTTTTTTTTTAAGGTATAATTTCTGTCATCTGCTTTTAGTTAGGAACTTAGGTGCTCTGCGTATTGGAGCTCAATGTTTGAGAATAAGAGTTGTAGATTTGGAAATATATCTATGAAGAAGCCCTTATCTTTTAAAAGAAGCATTTTCAAAATCCCATTTCACTGTCATATTGTAATTCCCCAAAATAAAAGGAAATGGAACAAAACAAGAATTAGAAAATAAGTATAGCCAGGCGTGGTGGTGCATGCCTTTAATCCCAGCACTTAGGAAACAGAGACAGGTGAATGGAATCTCTGTGAGTTCGAGGCCAGGCTGGTCTACAAAGTGAGTTCCAGGACAGCCAGAGCTACACATAAGCCCTGTCTCGAGCAACTTTTTTTTTAAAGTCTTATTTTAAAACATTGGGAAGATACATACCACAATGGATCTTTTTTTATACCAACAAATGTATGAATGGTTTTTCATTTTTAATTGTTAAAAGTATTAAAGTGTCAGGTTTAAATTGGAATTAGAAATTCTTATATCCTAGAGATCTTTTAGGTCACCAAATACAATAATATCATGATATTGCATGCTTTAAAATTTCAGGTGAAAGGGTTCAGATCAGTGGTTCTCAACCTGTGTGTCATGGCCCCTTTGAGGGTTGAACAACCGTTTCATTGGGGTCACCTAAGACCATTAGAAAACACAGATACAATAGTTAATTGTACCAGATGTGATAGGCAAAGTACCTTGGAAAGTTTAGCTTTATTAACAGAAACATTCCTAATCTGTCCTCTCTAAAAATGACATGATCTTAATGTTGCTTTCTTACCTGAAGGCGGGTTATTAGTACTATAATGACAATATGGGAACCAATTTTATCATGGTTCTGTCATTTGGGGAGTAACTATTTGAATAAGTTATTAAATGGCAATAAAATTAACAGAAAATAAAACAAATAAGAGTTTTATATATAATATATTTGAGTGGAATGGTACAGGAAAGCTCTCTAGTCAATGTCCTTCACCTGAATCTCAGCTTCATTATGTGAAGGGGGCCTCGGAGTGAATTTCCTAGTCCAAGTTTGGGATATTTATGAAGGGAGGTAGTTGTGGTGCGCCCCACTGGACAGTCGGTGCCCAATTGTCCTCGTGACTGAAGAACCTCACCTCACAGACATGCTGGGGAGAATTAGCTCCTCTGCATTGGCACTGCCCAGGGACAATCACTGATTGATTAATGGATCAGTGGGGTCACATGTCAGGATTACAATCTAAAAGACAGTGCCTTTGTGGTTGATGAGCAGCTATGATCTTTATCCGCCTTCCTAACAGGCTTGAGAACCAGGCCTCTGATTCTTTCTACAAGTTGGTATTGTTCCAAATCCAAGGAACTAGAATGGGGGAAGGGAGCAGGGAGTGCAACATCGAGCTAGGCTGGAGAGATGATGGTTCAGTGGGTAACAGTTCTTGATGCACAAAAATGAGGACCTGACCTCCAATCTAAAACAAAATAAAAACCCCACATTAAAATAAAATAAAATGAAAACACATACAGGCATGGCCAATGTTCATGTAATACCAGCACTGAGAAGTAGACAGGCAGATTCCTGGGTGCTCGCTGGCCAGCCAGATGAGCCAAAGCTGCGAGTTTCAGGTTCAGTGAGATGCCTTGTCTTGTATATAAAAGGGGAGGGCGACAGGACAAGACACCTGGCATAGTTCTCTGGCCTCCACACCCACGCATAGGGGTTTATGTGCAAACAGGCTTGCACACACACATACACACATGCATGCATGCTCACATAAAAGCCATGTTGTCTCTTTTAAAGCCATTCAACACAGTTGGACTAAACCCTGCACTCTGGAGGTCCCTGAGATCGATTAAACTGATGCTTTGCTTTATGCTAAGGGAGTGCGTGTAGCACAAGGGTGATCATGCAAGTTCCGGTTCAGCCTTTCCTGCTGCCTCACTTACTGCTCCTGTGACTTTGGTGCGTCTTAGCTTCTGGTGTTCTCATTCTCTAAGCTTGTAGCCTATGTCTCCACCACACCAAGAAAGGGGCCCACACATGCAAATTCAATTCAGGAAGCTGGAGAACAATGCCCACATCAGTTTCCCCTTGTTGGTGAGGCAGTAATGGCGTGGGCCATAAGGGCATGTCCTAAGTTAGCACTGTCATTTCAGGCCAGAGATGTGCCTGCCCTAAAGGACTCAGTCTAACTGGCAATGTGTCCCCTTCCCTCTCTGTTTCTATCGCTGGAACTCTGGTGCCTGAGGCACAAGGAGTGCAAGGCTGCATTCACTTACTGGGAGGACAAGGGGCGTTTGATCCTGGCAGCAGCCACGTGTGCTGCATCCTGTTCAGGTCTCTCCTCCACGTCCCCTCCATAGCCACTGTCCTCTGTGTCCAGGCTGTCACTCTTCCACTTGGGCTCTTCCTGCTCCATCACTTTCCAGCCTTTGGTCAGCTCGGATACCAAGTTGGTGCATTTCCTTCTCCGTGTTGGCGAGTCATGACTGAGGAGGATTCTGTCAATGTCATTCTCTGGCTGGACAGCTTCAGACACACCCCCGTCATTCTCGTACCTGTGGCTCAGGTAGTTCACATCTCCTCCTCGCTCATAAGCCTTACTGACAACTGTTCTGGTCACCTCTTTCCTTTTGATGTGGGAGACCTCGGAGGCCTCTTCTGAGTGTTGTCCATCTGGCTTTGGAGATGGAGGTTTGGGGACATGCTGGTGGGAACTGGGGCATGCCCCTGGCTTAGGAGTGTTGGGTGGGTCGTTGGTTGCTCCAGGCAGCCAGCCTGCAGGCTCCTGGGCCTGCTTGGTGCTGTTTTCATTCGCCCACTGCTGCCAACCACGGGCCAAGTTGATAACCAGGGTGGCTGTGCGTACCTTCCGGAGGGCACTCTTGGCTGGCCCCACCTCCCTTTCTTGTTCTCCGGGAGCCATGCTACCTGTTTCTTCTCTGCTGACGGTCTGGGCGCTGGCTAAAGAGAGAATGTGGTTGAGAGAGGTGCCTGGGATTTAAATAGAAGCAGGGTGTGAGTGGGAAGGAGAGCCTGTGACGGTGGAAACTATGCGAAGCATTTCTTGCCAAGATGTGGTGCCCGGTCCCTGACGGCGTTCTGTTTTTAAACCCTGACAGGTCCCATTTCATCACAGCAGAGGGACATCTCTGGTGGCAAAGGACATGGCTGTGTTCCCCCCTCTCTTCTCCAAGTGCCAGGATGGAAAGTACTAGACTGTATCATGTGCTCAGCTTTATGTTTTCCTTGACCTTAAAATATGATCCTACCATTTAGAGGAGCATCCAGTTTGTGCACAAATTGTCCTAGAGCATTAAAGGCTTGTTCTCAGTTAAACTTCGGTAGCCCTCAATACAGCTGCCATTGGGTCACATTTATAGGTGAGGGAAGAGATATCTAACTTCCTGTAGATGTATATGAGATTCAAGTCCTGAGAGATTGGAAGCTTGGGCTTCCTTTTATTCTATAATGGTTAGGAAGAGAACTTAGAAATTGTCTGATCAGATCTTCATTTCCAGTTGGAAACATTGGAGTCCAGAGGAAAAATAAGGTCCAGATGGTGAAAGGTTAATCATTGTTTTCTACCCCCATTTTGGGAGAAAGCCTATTAATATACATTAGCATATAACATATATTAATATGAAGATAGTAAACTGTTGTAACCATGTAAAAATTAAATTTTACTTATTTTAGAAATTATTACTAAAATTAATCTTTTCAAATATCAAAGCTGTTTAATCCATATAAACACGAAATAAATGGATGCTATCTGAAGTATGCCCTCCATTTTATTTAATTTTATTTTGAGATAAGATGTCATTATGTAGCCCTAACTGGCCCGGAACTTGCTACGTACAACAAGTTGTCCTCAAATTCCAAGAGATCCTCCCTGCTCTCCCCGCTGAGTGCTAGGCTTAAAGGCATGTACCACTACCTTTGGCTTCCTTTGTGTTTGTGTTTTGTTTTTAATGATTAACTATTGGTTGAATTCATTTTAAAATTATTTGTTTTATTTTTGAGGTTATAATTACATCATTTTTCTTTTTTCCTTCCAAACCTCCCATATATCCCTACTTGCTCTCTTTCAAATTCATGCTCTCTTTTTTCATTAATTGTTACATGCATGCTGTGTGTGTGTGTGTGTGTGTGTGTGTGTGTGTGTGTGTGTTTGCTAAGTAAGTACAACCTGTTATTCTATATAATGTTACTTGCATGAGGACTCAATGCTATACAAAAAGCTGCAGGCAGCTAAGGAATGCTGAGAGCAGGAAAAATAATCTTCCCTAGGGAAGAGCTCATCAATTGGTTATTCAATACTAAAGGATGAGCCTTGAAAACATGCGTTCCTCCTTGTTTTTAATAACACAAACGTTGTTAGCAGGCAAAGGCATTTGTTCGAACCTTCAGAACATCAAGTAAATAAATATTTCTAAGAGGACTGCAAAGCTAAGTCATGTGGACAGAGAAACAGCAATCTGTTCAGTGTTATTAGACCAGATAAAAATGTGCAGGGCTCAGCACTGAATAATTCCCTGAAGTAAGACAAATAGAAATTTTTTCATTTGCTTTAGACTTTAAAATCTATCCATTCCACCAATTTTGACACATCAGTCAACCTACTGATTGGAAAATATTGCCCATGAGCACTATGAAAAATAGAAAAGTTAATTTCTTCTGATAGACACAATCATTCAAAAGAAAAAGAAAAAAAAACTTGTGAATTTTTCATCATTTCAGTTATTCTCGCCCTAGGAGTCAAACAAATTGGGAAATGTTTTTAAAACTCTATCTAAAAATCTGTCAGAAGTGTTTTCTGATTTCAGCAGCATGTGATAACATCAACAGCACACAGACTGAATCCCTCTTGATTAATTAAAGGGGAAATGGGATCACAAGGGCGGAGACTGTTATAAACAAAGATTTAAATCTGAGCTTAAATTCCTGGACTTCCTTCCTCGAATGTAGATACATCAAACACTGCTGAGTTCTGTGGGATTCCATTCCTCCCCCTGGAAGGTCCGGGACAGATGGGCTCCTTGGAGACTTCCAGAAGCTTAGCTCAGGATCGGGTTAATTTTCAGCTCACAGAGGATTGCTCAGGTTCCCTCCTGATAAAGAAGAATGTAGAGAGGGGATGTGAACAGGGCTTCCTCTATTAGCAGCCACTGCAGTCAGCTGCCTGAGGTTTGAGGCTGTCAGCAGATGGTCTTTGGGGGCAAGAGTAGCTCCTAAAAAGATCTGTTCATTCCTCTGAGATTTGGCTTTGATGGCAACTGCAGCCCTTCAAACATTTACAGAGGCGTTTAAAATTCTTTTCCTCTTCCTGTCTACTTTGGGCATTCCTACCCTTAAGTAAGGTCTGCATGCTATCAATCTTCAGATTATCATAAAATTTTAGGTTCATGTTCTCAATCAAGGTCCAAGTTCTTAGGAATTATATATTCTCTAATTAATTGTGTGGTCAAAAGAAAATGAAAATAATGGCAAAGATTTGAGTAAGTGCTAGTTTGTAATGAAAGCCTCATGAAATAAGATTTAAAACTGATGGTGGAGATAGAGGCCTCAAATAATTATCACTTATTTGAAATTTGCCGTAAGAGCAATGTCTAAGTTTGGGTTTTTTATTGCTGTGAAGAGACACCATGACCATGGCAACTCTTATAAAGGAAAAACATTTTATAGGGCAGCTAACAGTTCAGAGGTTCAGTCTATTATCATTATGACAGAGAGAATGACGACTTGCAGGCAGATGTGGTGCTGGAGCTGAGAGTTCTACATCTTGAAGGCAACCGGAAGTTGACTGAGACACTGGGTAGTATCCTGAGCATAGGAAACATCAAGGCCTACCCCCTTAGTGACACACTTCCTCCAACAAGGCCATACCAACTCCAACAAAGCCATACCTTTTAATAGTGTGTCTCCCTATGAGATTATGTAGGCCAATTGCATTCAAACTACCATAAGTAAATTTTAAAAAGTGTAACCGTCACTGGGGCTGTAGTGATGACTTGGTGGTTGGGAGTACTTGTTGCTCCTGCAGAGGATCTCCAGTTAGTTGCTAGCACACACATAGCAGGTTACAACTGTCTAAAACTTCAGTTCCATAACACTCAATGCCTTCTTCTGGCCTCCATAGGCATCAAGTATGCATGTAACAAACATATTTAAATGCAGGTAAAACACTTAGAAAAAGATATTTACACACACTTCCCTTCTAAACCAAGTGCAATCAGTCTTCATAGCTAGCAGTATAAGGTCATCACAACCAAAGATATTTCACAAATCTTTATGTCTAACATATATAAAACAGTTTCTAAAAAGTATTAAGTGTTTGAAATTCAGAGAAAATTATTAGATATCTACAGACAATAAGATATTAGTATAGTGAAGCAAAATAACATAAAATAACAGGATCTTATTTTCTTAAGGCTCACTGTTTTTCTGCCAGTGTTTATGAGTTCATCCATGGAGAGACAGTAAAGTTGTTTTCCATATCCTGGCTTTTGTGAACAATGCTATAAGGAGTATGACAGTGTAGATATCTATCCCCCCAAAAAATAATTTACTAACTTTTATTTTATAAAAATATTCTTTAGTAGTTTATTTTTATATGGTATTCTTATTAATTCTTGAAATTCTCATAAGATGTATTTTGATCATATTCATCCCTTCCTGCTCCCTCCAAACTCTCTAAGCCCCCCCCCCTTTCCTTCCTACCTTCTCCTCCCTCTACTTCTATACTTCATGTCCTTTTTAAAATTGTTTTTGTATTTTTATAAGACACTCTCCTGCAGCAGACATCCTGGTCCTCTGGCTTACAATCTTCCCTCTCTTTCCTCTGCAATCTTTCCCGAGTTTGAGGTACAGCAGTTGTTCTATACATGTATCAACTGGGAACAGGTACCCATGAACAGTTTTTCTATGCCTTTTGACCTGTTGTGGCTTTCTGTAGTGGCCTCCATTTGCTTTACAGAAGCTTCTTTGATGAGGATGAGAGCTACTTTTCTGTAGATATAAGAATAAGTGTTTAGAATGTTCTTAGACATTGCCCTGGTTTAGAAACATGGCAGAAAGAGGTTTCTCTCTAGGTTCCATGGCTTCACCAACACAGGCAGTTGGCTAAGTTTATAGTACCAGGCATCAATTCCTCCTGCCGTGTGGGGACTTTAGTCCAACTACGTAGCTGTTGGTTATCCCCTGCGTGTAAGTGCCACTACTGCACCATCTGGAAAACCTTGCCCTTCTGATCGTTATTGGGGTTTGTAGGCATTACAGCTAGATGGGACTATTAATTGCTTTTCTTTGTGAGCGGCCTGCATAGCTGCTTCTAATACTATGAGACCTAATCCATCTTGCCTTTCTAAAAGCAAAATGTCTTGAAGTAATTAATACATAGACTGCCTATCTCCAATTTCCTCCTATTTTCTCCTGAACCCAATCCCAACAGGTGTTAGGTTCACTGTTTACTACAACTTCTCTTCCCTGTCACCAGTGATTTCCACATTGCTAAATCTGATGATAATCGGTTACTTGTGCTCACTTTACTTGCCCAATCAACACCCTCTGACACAATAAAACACTCATTCCTCTTTTAAATCCTTTACTGGGATTTTGCTTTTCTCTGTCTGTATTACTAGATATTTCTTTGTGTCCTTTATCATCACCTTCTTAATAATACATGAGCAGAGCTCAGTCTACATGCATTTCCCTGGTGACTCATTACTCAACTGCTATCTTTATGATGACAGTTCCATAGTAAGTATCTCCAAGGTGATGTTTTTCATATGTGTCTAGCTTATACAGTCAGAATTTGCTAGGAGTCTCTACTGGACAACTGTACAATTGCTCACTCAGCCTTAGTTTCAGCAATACTAAGCTCTCAATTATTGTTCTAATTTACAGTATTCTCCTCTTTCCAACTAAAAGTCAACTTTATTCTGCCAAATATTTTGAAGTAATATTTTATTTGTTTCCTTCTCACATGTCCAACCGAAGGCTTTTCTCTGTCCCATCCTGTTCCACAGCCTTTTCCAAATAATCACAAAGAGGCTTATATTAATTATAAATGTT